GTGAGTCCGGTCCGTGTGAGTCCGGTCCGTGTGAGTCTGATCTGAGTCCGGTCCGTGTGAGTCCGGTCCGTCTGAGTCCGTGTGAGTCGGTCCGTGTGAGTCCGGTCCGTGTGAGTCCGGTCCGTGTGAGTCCGTGTGAGTCCGGTCGGTCTGAGTCCGGTCCGTGTGAGTCCGGTCCGTGTGAGTCCGGTCCGTGTGAGTCTGATCTGAGTCCAGTCCGTCTGAGTCCGGTCCGTGTGAGTCCGGTCCATGTGAGTCTGATCTGAGTCTGGTCCGTGTGAGTCCAGTCTGTGTGAGTCCAGTCTTGGTCTCGGTCCGTGGTCTGAATCCGGTCTCGGTCTCAGTCCGGTCTCGTTCTTAGTCTCGGTCTGGGTCCGTGGTCTGAGTCTGGTCTGGGTCGGGTGGTCTGGTCGGTCTGGGTGTCTGGGTCCGGTCCGGTTCAGTCCGTGGTCTGGTCCGGTCTGGGTCTGGGTCTCGTCCTGGTCTGTGGTCCGTGGTCTGAGTCGGTCTGGGTCTGGGTCTGGGTCTGGGTCCGTGTTCTGAGTCCGGTGTCAGTCCGTGGTCTGAGTCCGGTCTGGGTCTGGGTCTCAGTCCGTGGTCTGAGTCCGGTCTCTGGGTCTGGGTCTCAGTCCGTGGTCTGAGTCTGGTCTGGGTCTGTGTCCGTGGTCTGAGTCTGGGTCTGGGTCTCAGTCCGTGGTCTGAGTCCGGTCTCGTTCTCGTTGTGGTGCAGTGTCGTTCGCCAAGGCGCTGTACGATTACTCGGGACAGACCGCAGACGAGTTGTCGTTCCCCGAAGGCGCCATCATCCGGATCCTGAGCCGCGACACACACGAGGACGACGGCTTCTGGGAGGGAGAACTCAACGGCGTCGTGGGCGTGTTCCCCGCCGTGCTGGTCGAGGACCTGACCTCCAACGCCAACGCCAACGCCAACCGCCAACGCCGAGAACACAGACGGGCAGAAGGACGCCAGCGCTCAGGTCTGTCTGTGACTCTTCTGGTTTAGTCCTGGTTTAGACCTGGTTTAGTCCTGATTTAGTCCTGGTTTAGTCCTGGTTTAGACCTGGTTTAGTCCTGGTTTAGACCTGGTTTAGTCCTGGTTTAGACCTGGTTTAGTCCTGGTTTAGTCCTGATTTAGGCCTGGTTTAGTCCTGGTTTAGACCTGATTTAGTCCTGGTTTAGACCTGGTTTAGTCCTGATTTAGACCTGGTTTAGTCCTGGTTTAGACCTGGTTTAGTCCTGGTTTAGACCTGATTTAGTCCTGGTTTAGTCCTGGTTTAGACCTGATTTAGTCCTGGTTTAGACCTGGTTTAGACCTGGTTTAGTCCTGGTTTAGTCCTGGTTTAGACCTGATTTAGTCCTGGTTTAGACCTGGTTTAGTCCTGATTTAGACCTGGTTTAGTCCTGGTTTAGACCTGGTTTAGTCCTGGTTTAGACCTGATTTAGTCCTGGTTTAGTCCTGGTTTAGACCTGGTTTAGTCCTGGTTTAGACAGAATTAACTTTTAAAGAATCCCTGTGTAGTATCTGTGTGTGTGTATCTGTGTGTGTGTATCTGTGTGTGTGTGTGTGTGTGTGTGTGTGTGTATCTGTGTGTGTGTATCTGTGTGTATCTGTGTGTGTGTATCTGTGTGTGTGTGTGTGTGTGTGTATCTGTGTGTGTGTGTGTGTGTGTGTGTGTGTGTGTATCTCTGTGTGTGTGTGTGTGTGTGTGTGTGTGTGTGTGTGTGTGTGTGTGTGTGTGTGTGTATCTGTGTGTGTGTGTGTATCTGTGTGTGTGTGTGTGTATGTGTGTGTGTGTGTGTGTGTGTATCTGTGTGTGTGTGTGTGTGTGTGTGTGTGTGTATCTGTGTGTGTGTGTGTGTGTGTGTGTGTGTGTGTGTGTGTGTGTGTGTGTGTGTGTGTCTGTGTGTGTGTGTGTGTGTGTGTGTGTGTCTGTGTGTATCTGTGTGTGTGTTCAGGTCTCCCCCTCGTCGTCTCTGTGTGCGTCTGACTCGTCTCTTTGCCCTTTGGCCCCGGGACTCGTCCAGACGCTGACCGTGTCCTCGCCCACCGGCCGCCCCCCGTCCTACCACAACGGACACCACCACCACCGCCGAGCCTCGCCCGCGCACACGCCCGCGCCCGCGCACACGCCCGCCAGGAGCCCCTATCACAGTGAGTAACACACACACACACACACACACACTTGTTTGGTAGTGACGGTGACTGGAGCTGGTGAAGCGTCGACACTTCAGTCATGATCTTGTCTCAGATGGTTGGACAAACACTGACCTCTAGTGGACAAATGTCACGCAGGCGTCTGCGCGTCCATCAAGTGTTAATGTCAAACAAAACTTAGTCTGAGTTCAGATGCACCTGAAGTTTCCAGATCAGATGTTTTGTCTCTATGTTCATGTATCTGATCTTTTCATGTCTGAACCACACAGATGTGATGTTTTCACATGTGACCAGGACACTTGGATCTGTGCTCCTGAAACTGATCCATATCTGATCTTTAACATGTGACTTGAGTGTGAACAGTCAGGTCACATTCATCCACCTACACGTCATCAACAAGACACAAACGTCACTATTCTGCACTGAAGTAGAGAAAACTGTTCATGATCCATGTGACTGAAGTGAAGCACATCTCCACTCACCACAAAACACCACCACCAAAAACCTGCTCCTTCTCCTTCTCAATCTCCTCCTTAAAACAAGTCAGTTGTTCATGTTGTGGCTCCGGTACGAGAGGAACTTTAAAATCTCCAGGTGCTCGATGCTGCGTCCATGTTTGTTCAACTTGTGTAAACACAGAGACGCTCGCTGCGGTTGACGTCGTCGTGTCTCCAGTGTCACATGTGGGACACTTTTGGACCGTTTAATGTTCACACTGGAGTCACACACAAGTCACTTTTAACTGGAAATGTGAACGACCTCGAAAAAACATCAGATTTCACTAAAAAAATCAGAATTGAGCGTTAAACCTGCAGACTGAACGGAGACTTACACCGTACCACAACAATAATAATAATGATGATTTAAAATAATAAGTACAGAGCAACAGAAACAGCAGCTGTAAATAAGAAAATCAGTGTGACTTTGTTCGGTGGATTTAGATCAAAATGATCCCAAATCATGGATCGATTTTTTCCACTTGTAGACGCCATCGAAAATGAAACAAACGCCACAAGTCGCCAAAATCACCACTAACGTCACACAATCCTCCTCACCACCAACATGTTTAACAAATACTGCTGCATCTTTTACAGGCGAGTTTCAGCTGACGACATTGTTATTAAAAGCGCACGTTGCTGCTGGGAAATATTTTGGTCGGCGGCAAGAAACACAAATTAAACATGACGGACGGAGTGAGAAAACACGTAAAGGGTATTGATCCCGGTTATTGATCCACTCTAACAGCAGACGACCCAAGACCTTTTGACCAGAAATTGGTCATAAACATCGACGGACGACAAATCTCCCTTTTCAACCCCGACAGAGTCTGGACCAAACCAAACTTCTGGTCAGAATCTCCAACTCCCTGGACAAATATTTCACTAATAATATTATTATCCACAATGACTTGGTGAAACTCCTGGGCCATTCACAGCAGAAAAGATGAAAACCTCCAAGAGTCTGGATGTGTTGTTGAACTTGTTGAGTCCACGGTTTGTTAGGATCTTCTACGTTTGCTCTGCGGATGTTTGAAAGTCGTTTAATTCACCGTTAGTGGTTCTTTTCACTCAGAATACGAAAAAGACATTTTCCTTCTTCCGTGTTTCTATTTGTGCGTCTGATGATGCAGCAGGAATTTACCATTATCAGGGAGAAATACATGAGGTTACACACTGTGTTTGATGCAGCAACGCGGGATTTTAATAACAATGATGTCAGAGGAAACTCGACTGTAGCAATATACAAGTATTATTATATTATATTATTATTATTATTATTATTATTATTATTATGATTATGATTATTATTATTATTATTATGATTATTATTATTATTATTATTATTATTATGATTATGATTATTATTATTATTATTATGATTTATTATGATTATTATTATTATTATTATTATTATTATCGTTTGGTTTTAAATGTTTGATCTGGTTCATCCTGAGGTTTTTTATTTCACTGTTTTGACCCGAAATCCAAATCTGAACATGAATCTCTGCTCTCTGTCTGCTGTCTGCCTGTCTGTCTGCTCCTGTCTGCTCCTGTCTCTGCTCTCTGCTCCTGTCTGCTCCTGCTCTGCTCTGTCTGCTCCTGTCTGCTCCTGTCTTGCTCCTGTCTGCTCCTGTCTGCTCCTGTCTGCTCCTGTCTGCACTGTCTGCTCCTGTCTGCTCCTGTCTGCTCCTGTCTCTGCTCCTGCCTGCTCCTGTCTGCTCCTGTCTCTGCTCCTGTCTGCTCCTGTCTGCTCCTGCTCTGTCTCCTGTCTGCTCCTGTCTGCTCCTGTCTGCTCCTGTCTGCTCCTGTCTCTGCTCCTGTCTGCTCCTGTCTCTGCTCCTGTCTGCTCTGTCTCTCCTGTCTCTGCTCCTGTCTGCTCCTGTCCTGTCTGCACCTGCTCTCTGCTCTGCTCCTGTCTGCTCCTGTCTCTGCTCCTCTGCTCTCTGCACCTGCTCCTGTCTCTGCTCCTGTCTGCTCCTGTCTGCTCCTGTCTGCTCCTGTCTGTCTGCTCCTGTCTGCTCCTGTCTGCTCCTGTCTGCTCTGTCCTGTCTGTCTGCACCTGCTCCTGTCTGCTCCTGTCTCTGCTCCTGTCTCTGCTCCTGTCTGCTCCTGTCTCTGCTCCTGTCTGCTCCTGTCTGCTCCTGTCTCTGCTCCTGCTCTCTGCTCCTGTCTCTGCTCTGTCTGCTCCTGTCTCTGCTCCTGCTCCTGTCTCTGCTCCTGCTCCTGTCTGCTCCTGTCTCTCTGTCTCTGCTCCTGTCTGCTCCTCTCTGCTGTCTGCTCCTGTCTGCTCCTGTCTCTGCTCCTGTCTCTGCTCCTGTCTGCTCCTGTCTCTGCTCCTGTCTGCTCCTGTCTGCTCCTGTCTCTGCTCCTGTCTGCTCCTGTCTCTGCTCTGCTCCTGTCTGCTCCTGTCTGCTCCTGCTCTCTGCTCCTGCTGCTCCTGTCCTGTCTCTGCTCCTGTCTCTGCTCCTGCTCTGTCTGCTCCTCTCTGCTCCTGTCTGCTCCTGTCTGCTCCTGTCTGCTCCTGTCTGCTCCTGTCTCTGCTCCTGTCTGCTCCTGTCTGCTCCTCTGCTCCTGCTCCTCTGCTCCTGTCTCTGCTCTCTGCTCTGTCTGCTCCTGTCTCTGCTCCTGTCTGCTCCTGTCTGCTCCTGTCTGCTCCTGCTCTGTCTGCTCCTGTCTCTGCTCTCTGCTCCTGTCTGCTCCTGTCTCTGCTCCTGTCTGCTCCTGTCTCTGCTCCTGTCTGCTCCTGTCTCTGCTCCTGTCTCTGCTCCTGTCTGCTCCTGTCTGCTCCTGTCTCTGCTCCTGTCTGCTCCTGTCTGCTCCTGTCTGCTCTGCTCTCTGCTCCTGTCTCTGCTCCTGTCTCTGCTCCTGTCTGCTCCTGTCTGCTCCTGTCAGGTCCGGTCCAGGGGTCAGTGCAGCCGCCCAAGTATCCAGACTCTGGCTCCATCCGACCTGTGAGTGTCAAAGAAACAACTCAACATGACAAATACTCAAGTACTCAAGTACTCAAGTACTCAAGTACTCACTACTACATGTTATATACATTACTTACTATACTTTATATACATTATACTTTATATACTTTATACTCTGTGTGTATTTACTGTAACAGCTCATTTTACTTTAAAACTCTGTGTCTGGAACATTTAAAGAATCATGATTCAGACGAGAGAAAAACAGTAAATACACACATTTTTATGATTTTATTTTTGATTATTTTATTTTATTTTTTGACACATTTTATTTGTTATTTTTGTCTGTTCTGATGATTTGATTTGATTATTTTTGTTTTATTATTTTATTTGTATTATTTGTCTGCTCGTCAGTTTGGATAAAATGTCGTAGAATCCAACGTACGTGCTCCCCTTGTGTGTGTCCAGGTGCGCGCGGCCCCGCCCCCTCCGAAGCAGCACCCCCGCGGGCAGGTCAAGAGGAGGGAGGAGGTGGAGATCACTCTGGTGTGAAACCCCCGGAGTCCAAGTGCCTTCCACCCCGTTCCCCCTGTCCCCGCCCCCCTGCCAAGCCCCGCCCCCTGTCAGCCCGCCCCCTGTCAGCCCCGCCCCTGTCCCCGCCCCCTGTCCCCGCCCTCTGCTCCTGCTCATGTCGACCTCTTTGAGTCAGTCTCCACATGAAGCCGTGTGTGTGTGTGTGTGTTGTGTGTCTGTGTTTGTTTGTGTGTGTGTGTGTGTGTGTGTGTGTGTGTGTGTGTGTGTGTGTGTAGCCGCACTCACACTTTTATTTGTTGAATATTCACATATTCTGTCCAAGAAAACGTCCTGGACGATGAAGAACCTGCAGAACACGAGTGGAACGTTTTTAAAATGAACTTTTCAAAGCAGAATTAAAGCACAAACACACACACACACAGACACACACACACACACACACACACACACACATACACACACACACACACACATACACACACACATACACACACACACACAGACACACACACAGACACACACACACATACACACACACACACAGACACACAACACACACAGACACACACACACACACACACACACATACACACACACACATACACACACACACACAGACACACACACACACACATACACACACACACACAGACACACACACACACACAGACACACGTACACACAGACACACACAGACACACACAGACACACACACACACACGTACACACACACACACACACACACACACATGTTCCCGCGGCGCTGACGCTGAAACAGACTGAAGTGCGTCTGTGGGCGTCGCCACGTTCGTTCTGGTTTGTTTTGTTTTGTTTTGGCGCTTCAGCTTTGGCTCCGCCCACACGTGAGAGCTGCTCTGTGATTGGTCAGAGCGAGAGTCGATCTGGAGATAAAAACATTGTCCTGATGTTTCTGTAAGAGACGAAGAAGAAGAAGAAGAAGAAGAGATTGTCCCGTGAGGCGCCGCAGCACACGCCTGTTTCAGAACTCCAACCTCACACTTCACACTTTGAATACTTTTAGTACTTTTAGTACTTTAATACTTTAATACTTTTTAGTACTTGATGTTTTAACGAAGGGAAAAGTGAAAACAAAAGGATGAGAGGTTTTTCTCTCACATGATCCTGTTTTTATGGAAGAAGCACAGTTGGGTTTCCATGGTTACTATGCAACAGGAAATGGTTCAAGTCCCAATCCAAGTCTGGATCAAACTGAGAGGCTGGTCCTCTCCTGACGCCCGCACACACGGGCCCCGCGCACACGGGCCCCGCGCACACGGGCCCCGCGCACACGGGCCCCACGCACACGGGCCCCACGCACACGGGCCGCACAAAGGGAAAAGTGTGAGTGTGACGTGTTCTCGTGTGCGTCAGCAGGAGAACGTCGCTCACTTAAACGTGTTTTATGAACATGTGATGTTGGAGCCGTGAGGAGAGCGCCCCCTACACACCCGAGGAGAGCGCCCCCTACACACCCGAGGAGAGCGCCCCCTACACACCCGAGGAGAGCGCCCCCTACACACCCGAGGAGAGCGCCCCCTACACACCCGAGGAGAGCGCCCCCTACACACCCGAGGAGAGCGCCCCTGCACACCCGAGGAGAGCGCCCCCTACACACCCGAGGAGAGCGCCCCCTGCAGACCCGAGGAGAGCGCCCCCTACCCGAGGAGAGCGCCCACACCGAGGAGAGCGCCCCCTGCACACCCGAGGAGAGCGCCCCCTCACACCCGAGGAGAGCGCCCCCTGCAGACCCGAGGAGAGCGCCCCCTGCAGGCTGTGGAGCTGCTGTCCTGTCACAGTCGAGCACTTTCTTTGTGTTTCTTTGTGTTTCTTTGTGTTTCTTTGTGTTTCTTTGTGTTTCCTTTCAGTATTGAGCTGCGTTTTTCTCCAGTTTGTTTCTTATTTAGCCTCGTATCTGTTTCAATCTGAAGTTTACAGAGATAAAAAGTAAAACTCCAGTTTGTGTTGTAGAAGTAGAAATAATCTGTAAAGTGTAGTTACCAGAAAAGTTATGTTCAGCCGTGTTGCTGTGTTTTTGTTGATCTCCTTGAGATCTGAATGACATCAAACTTATTTTTGAAGTTTATATTTACCCTGTTGTATTAAAAAGATGGAGTTTTGAGACGACCGTTTCCCTCAGAGTCCGTTCTGTTTCAGAGTCTGTTCTGTTTCAGAGTCCGTTCTGTTTCAGAGTCCGTTCTGTTTCAGAGTCCGTTCTGTTTCAGAGTCCGTTCTGTTTCAGAGTCCGTTCTGTTTCAGAGTCCGTTCTGTTTCAGTCTTTTCAGTGTCTGTTCTGTTTGGACAAACTCCGTTTCAGCCAGCGCATGTTAAACTCTATTTATTGTACAATAAATGTGAAATAAAAATAGTTTCCATGAACTTGAGCGACTCTGTTTTCTTCTTGTGTTTCTGTGATGAAACGATGAACAGAAACAGACACGAGGACACGGGACCCTGGCTCAGAATCGTCATGTTCAGCAGTTTCAGATTTTCCAGGTGCACGTCACAGGAGGAGCTGAAGTGTCTTGCTTAATAACACAACAACAGAAGCTGCTCCAGCAAAACTCGTGAGGCTCAGAATCACAGTTATTCACTTACCAACCGTGGAAAAGAATGTTTTTTTTACTTTTAATCTAAAGAAAATAATAAATCAAGGAAATAAAATGAAATAAAAATAAATAAAATATTGCATTTGTTCGTCTTTCTGTTTACTTTCTAGTTAAAGGGCTTGTTTTGTTTGATTCACATGTTTAACACACAAACCTGCACATTTACACATGAAAACACTCTGTTCCACGTTGTGATGTCATCATGTGGTGATACAGGAAGTGCTCCACTGTGTTTTTAAACTCCACACTTCACCTTCACTAGAATCATCTGGATCGTTTCAGTCCTGGAACTGACGAACTCGACTGAACTAAAGAGAAAAGGAGCTGAGAAGTTGGAAACTCACACTTCATGACATCACAAGGTGGAACAGAGCGTTTGGAGCTTTGGAGACGTAACAGACTCATAAAGAGTTACACAGACAGACAGATAGATGTAGATATTTATATATATTGTATACATTTTATTTATTTTTCTCTCTTCTGGGTCTGCTCTTGTGGTTGTTATTTTTATTTAATTTTTGTTTATTTGTTTATTTTATTTTGATTATTTTATTTTATTTATTATTTTATTACATATTTTATTTGTGATTTTCACATGTTCCGGCACCGCTCTCCCGCTTCGTTATTTTTATTTATTTATTTTATGTATTAATTTATTTTTATTTTATGATTATTTATTTTTTATACACATTTTATTTGTGATTTTCGCGTGTTCCGGCGCCGCTCTCCCGCTTCGTTATTTTTATTTAAGTATTTTATTTACTATTAAATGTATTATTTAATTATATATATATTTTTTTATTATTATGTAATGAATTGTTATTTTATGATTATTCTTTTTTATTTTCTTTTTTTCTTTTATTCGTCCGGTGCCGCTGTCCCGGTCGTGTGCTTTTACTTTGCCGGGCCGGAAGTGCTCGGGTCCCGGGTGGACGCGGCGGCGGCTCCGGGGCTTGACTCTGGTGTGTGGAGGAAAAGATGGCTGCTCCGGCGGCAACAGCGACTCCTGTCCCGGGTTTGTGCCCGAGTTACGCCGTGATCTGCTCTTTCCTGGAGCGGTTCGGGGCTCAGCTGGACCTCCCGGAGCTCACCTTCCCGCAGCTGGAGCGTTATCTGCGGGACACATGCTCAGGTGAGGCCGGGGGAGGCGCGCTGCTGGCGGGGACGCGCTGATGCTAACGCCGCGCTAGCCTCTGTTAGCCGCTCTGTTATTGTGCTTTTCTCCTCCTCGTTCACTTCTCGTTCACTTCTCGTTCACTTGAATCACATCATGGCTCTTCGGGCTCGTTCACACGGAGCCGGGAGCCGCGGAGGAGCTCGCCTGGACACAGATCTGACTGGGCAGGCCCGCGCTTTTCTCTCACTTTGTGCCATATTTTGTAAAGCTTCGTTTTTTCAGCCGCAGCAGCAGGAGCCGGAGCCGGAGCCGGAGCCTTTCTCCGCTCCGGACTGAGCCGCGGCGGGGGGATGGAGAGCCGCGGCTCGGAGCCGTTTCTCGGCTTCACGATCTGATCTTTTTGCTCTTGAGACTCTAATTCATAATCGCGCTGCGCTTTTCCATTGACGTAATTTGGTTCACTTTATTTACAGTTGTGTTTGTGGTGCGGGGCATTGCCACAAACAATGACAGCGCACACTTCCGCTTCGTCCTTTCAACACAAAAACACTCTTACTGTGTTAAACACGTTTAATTTGAACAATCTGCGCTTCCGTACTCGCTCATTACGAGTTAAAGTAAATATATATTTCCTACAAACTTCAAATTAAGTTCAAAATAAGGCGCGTATTAAAGATTAGTTGTAAATTTGTCGTAAATGTGGATCATGTTCGTTTCCGGTCGCGCGGCGCGTTCTGCCGACGGCTTGACTGTTGAATCCGTAGTGCGCATGCGCGGTGGCACTGATGGAGCGTTTTTACCGAACGAGCCGCGTCTAAAACGCGTCCAAAACGCGTCCCGAGCCGCGTCCAGTGACCAGATTTAAAAATAAAAAAACTGTGACGGTTTGTGGAGGTTGGTAAAAATAAACCTGTGAAACGAGTGCGTAAAACATCAAATAAAATAAATCATCAAATAAATAAATGAGCAAGTCAATAAACACTTATAAAATACTAAAATTAGCAAATAGAAAAATAGCAATAAAATAAATAAATATAATAATAATAATAATCAATAATGAGTAAACGGTGCTACAGTAAATATATTTTAATATTTATATTCCTTATAAACTTCAGTTTAAATTTAAGAGCAAGTTGTGGATTCAAGATTAGTTGTAAATTTGTCGTAAACATGGGTCATGTTTGTTTCCGGTCGCGTTGTGTGCATGTGCATGTGCATGTGCATGTGCGGTGGCACTGATGGAGCGTTTTTACTGAACGAGCTGCGTCCAGAGACCAGATTTTAAAATAAAAAAACTGGGACGTCCTGGTTTGTGGAGGTTGGTAAAAATAAAATTGTGAGACAAATGCGTAATTAAGTAAAACCGTTTTGTACTTGACACTAACATGAGTCGGTGTCGTCACAGTTTCTTTGTGTTTTGTCGTTTTGAAGCAGATTTTCTGTATTTGACCCAAACTAATGTCAGTTTGTGTCTCTTTACTGTCGCAGGAGCAAATTTGTCCAAAACAGAGACTCTGGGACATTTCTGTATAAACTGGACAAATCAGTGGTTTGAGTTCAACCTAAACTCCGACACATTAAATAAAATAAAGCATCAAATAAATAAATGAGCAAGTCAATAAAACCATAAAAAATACTAAAATTATCAAATAGAAAAATAGCAAAAAAAATCTATTAAAATTAAATAAATAAAAGAATAAATTGCGCGTCCGTACTCGCTTATTACGAGTTAAAGTAAATAAATAAATAATAAATAAATATATTCCTTATAAACTCCAATTTAAGTTCAAAATAAGGCTCCAATTAATTATTGTAAATGCAGATCGTGTGCAGGCGTGATGACACTGATGGAGTGTTTTTACCGAACAAGCCGCGTCCAGAGAGCGTCTGAAGTGCGTCCAAAGCGCATAGGGCGACCACATAATAAAATGGTGAAACAAGTTCTTTAATTAACGGAAACATTGACGTGTTGTCACCTTAAAATCACGTCTTCAGAATCTGCGTCCTGGAGCGCGGCGAGTCCCGGGACACGAGCGCGAGACGTGGAACTGGAACTGGATAAAGTTTCTGTCTCCTCAGCTTCGGTTCTTCTGTGTTTTTGGGACATATTCGAACGCAGTGATCCGTGTATTTTTAAGATGTTTTTGCGTTTTGCTGGAGCACGTTTGAGTCGCGTTTGAGTCTGAAGCCACTTCCTCTGATTCCGTGTGTGTTTTTTTATTTTGATAACGTTCTACATTTCCTGTACAGCCTGAGAGCTCTAAACATGTGAAACAAACTGAGGAACTGAGGAAAAAAACCTTCTTTTTATTGACCTTTTTGGTTTACTCCATAATTCTGTCCTTCTTCTCTCTGATATTTGGTTCTTCTGAGTGTTTCAAATGTAGAAAGGAGTAAAAAAAACAAAAAACACCAAAAATATAAAATGAGACGAGTGTCCAAACGTCTGGTTTTGTTTGTAAATGTTTCTCACTCTTTTCTCTTCTTCTCTCCTCGTCGGTCTCCTCAGTCCCAAAGCTCTTGGTGGACCTCCACGTGAAGTTACTGAGGAAGATCGGCAAGTCTGTGTCTGCAGATCGATGGGAGAAACATCTGGTGAAGGTAAAACCAGAACTTCAACCTGCGTCCACCTCAGAGAAACCGTGTGTCGTTCGTTCAGTCCTTTTTCAATATAAAACCAAAAATAAGAAAACGAAAAAAACAACAGTTTTCTTCATTATTTGTCTCCAAAACCAAAATGAAAAAACAGATAATGATTCTTTTTTTCAGTTTTCGATTTGTGTTTAAATGAAGAATGGAAAAAACGGATAACGGCCGTTTCCCGTTTACGTGACTTCTGTGAGTGCTGTGCCGGACTGAACCAGGACTGATCCAGGTCCGAGACCAGAGCGGGACCAGAGCGGGACCAGAGCGGGACCAGAGCGGGACCAGAGCGGACCAGAGCGGGACCAGAGCAGGACCAGAGCGGGACCAGAGCAGGACCAGAGCGGGACCAGAGCAGGACCAGAGCGGGACCAGAGCGGGACTAGAGCGGGACTAGAGCGGGACTAGAGCGGGACTCCGAGCTTTGACTCTGAGCCTCCGCGGGGTCCAAGCCTCAGCTTTGAGCTCTGGCCCTGTCGTAGCGCTCTGGTCCCGGTCTTGTCCCGCTCTTGTCCCGGTCTTGTCCCGGTCTCAGGCCCGCTCTGGTCTCGGTCTGGTCCCGGTCTTGTCCCGGTCTCAGGCCCGCTCTGGTCCCGGTCTGGTCCCGGTCTTGTCCGGTCTTGTCCCGGTCTCAGGCCCGCTCTGGTCCCGGTCTGGTCCTGGTCTGGTCCCAGACCTGGTCCAGTTGAACCAAAAGCTCTTAGTTCAGTTCGTTTTCGTTGGTGTGAAAGTGTCAGTTGGATGTTTTGCTCCACCTCAGAACCAGTCGTGGTTCTTGAGTGTGGAGAACCAGAGCAGCTCGTCCGGACCTGGAGTCCACAGAACTTTCTCACTTTCCCCGCACAGAACCAGCGCACAGACGATGACAGGGAACCACTCGGACCACTGGTCCCGCTCTGGTCCCGGTCTGGTCCCAACCGAGACCAGACCCAGACCAGACTGAGACCCAGACTGAGACCCAGACCGAGACCGTGGCCCGTCAAGACCAAATCGAGACTGTCTTTGTCATTTTGGACATTTATTTTATTTGTATTTTACAGTTTTTTTGGCACATGTAAATCAAACGAGCACCTCCTGTCCTTGTGTCCTTTTGTCCTAACGTCCTCATCTCCTCTTGTCCTCGTGTCCTCACATCCTTGTGTCCTCCTGTCCTGACGTCCTCTGTCCTCCTGTCCTCCTGTCCTGACGTCCTCCTGTCCTGACGTCCTCCTGTCCTCCTGTCCTGACGTCCTCGTGTCCTCCTGTCCTGACGTCCTCGTGTCCTCCTGTCCTGACGTCCTCGTGTCCTCATGTTCTTCTGTGCTCGTGTCCTCCTGTCCTGACGTCCTCGTGTCCTTTTGTCCTGACGTCCTCGTGTCCTCCTCTCCTGACGTCCTCGTGTCCTCCTGTCCTGACGTCCTCGTGTCCTCCTTTCCTGACGTCCTCGTGTCCTTTTGTCCTGACGTCCTCGTGTCCCTCCTCTCTCCTGACGTCCTCGTGTCCTCCTGTCCTCTCCTCTCCTGACGTCCTCGTGTCCTCCTGTCCTGACGTCCTCGTGTCCTCCTGTCCTGACGTCCTCGTGTCCTCCTGTCCTGACGTCCTCGTGTCCTTTTGTCCTGACGTCCTCGTGTCCTCTTGTCCTGACGTCCTCGTGTCCTCCTGTCCTGACGTCCTCGTGTCCTCCTGTCCTGACGTCCTCGTGTCCTTTTGTCCTGACGTCCTCGTGTCCTCCTCTCCTGACGTCCTCGTGTCCTCCTGTCCTGACGTCCTCGTGTCCTCCTGTCCTGACGTCCTCGTGTCCTCCTGTCCTGACGTCCTCGTGTCCTCCTGTCCTGACGTCCTCGTGTCCTCCTGTCCTTGCAGATCTGTCAGGAGTTCAACACGACGTGGGCGTGGGAGATCGAGCAGAAAGGATACAAGACCATGTCCATGGAGTGTAAGACGGGAATCCTCAAGGTGACTGCACTGACCACTCTAACCCTAACCCATCTGTAGGGAGTATTATCTGCCACATAAGAGTGAGTTGTACAGTTGTAGGGAGTATTATCTGCCACATAAGAGTGAGTTGTACAGTTGTAGGGAGTATTATCTGCCACATAAGAGTGAGTTGTACAGTTGTAGGGAGTATTATCTGCCACATAAGAGTGAGTTGTACAGTTGTAGGGAGTATTATCTGCCACATAAGAGTGAGTTGTACAGTTGTAGGGAGTATTAACTAAGTGTGAGTTGTAGTTGTAGGGAGTATTATCACATAGAGTGAGTTGTACAGTTGTAGGGAGTATTATCTGTCACATAAGAGTGAGTTGTACAGTTGTAGGGAGTATTATCTGCCACATAAGAGTGAGTTGTACAGTTGTAGGGAGTATTATCTGCCACATAAGAGTGAGTTGTACAGTTGTAGGGAGTATTATCTGCACATAAGTGTGAGTTGTACAGTTGTAGGGAGTATTATCTGCCACATAAGAGTGAGTTGTACAGTTGTAGGGAGTATTATCTGTCACATAAGTGTGAGTTGTACAGTTGTAGGGAGTATTATCTGCCACATAAGAGTGAGTTGTACAGTTGTAGGGAGTATTATCTGTCACGTAAGAGTTGTAGTTTGTACAGTTGTAGGGAGTATTATCTGTCACATAAGTGTGAGTTGTACAGTTTGTAGGGAGTATTATCTGTGACATAAGTGTGAGTTGTACAGTTGTAGGGAGTATTATCTGTCACTAAGTGTGAGTTGTACAGTTGTAGGAGTATTATCTGTCACATAAAGTGTGTTGTAGAGTTGTAGGAGTATTATCTGTGACGTAAGTGTGTTTTGTAGAGTTGTAGGGAGTATTATCTGTGACATAAGTGTGTTGTAGAGTTGTAGGGAGTATTATCTGTGACATAGTGTGTTGTTTGTAGTTTATCTGTGACAAGATTACGAGTTGTAGGAGTATCTGTGACGTAAGTGTGTTTTATAGAGTTGTAGGGAGTATTATCTGTGACATAAGTGTGTTGTAGAGTTGTAGGGAGTATTATCTGTGACGTAAGTGTGTTTTATAGAGTTGTAGGGAGTATTATCTGTGACGTAAGTGTGTTTTATAGAATTGTAGGGAGTATTATCTGTGACATAAGTGTGTTGTAGAGTTGTAGGAGATATTATCTGTGACATAAGTGTGTTTTATAGAGTTGTAGGGAGTATTATCTGTGACATAAGTGTGTGTTATAGAGTTGTAGGGAGTATTATCTGTCACATAAGAGTGAGTTGTACAGTTGTAGGGAGTATTATCTGTGACGTAAGTGTGTTTGTAGAGTTGTAGGGAGTATTATCTGTGACATAAGTGTGTTTTGTAGAGTTGTAGGAGTATAGTGAGTTGTATAGTTGTAGGAGTATTATCTGCACATAAGTGAGTTGTACAGTTGTAGGGGAGTATTATCTGTCACATAAGTTGTGGAGTAGTCTGTACGTAAGTGTAGTTGTAGTTGTAGGGAGTATTATCTGTGACATAAGTGTGTGAGTTGTATTATGTTGACACAAGAGTGAGTGGTACAGTTGTAGGGAGTATTATCTGTGACGTAAGTGTGTGTTATAGAGTTGTAGGGAGTATTATCTGTGACATAAGTGTGTTGTAGGGAGTATTATCTGTGACATAAGTGTGTGTTATAGAGTTGTAGGGAGTATTATCTGTGACATAAGTGTGTTGTAGAGTTGTAGGGAGTATTATCTGTGACATAAGTGTGTTGTAGGGAGTATTATCTGTGACATAAGTGTGTGTTGTAGAGTTGTAGGGAGTATTATCTGTGACGTAAGTGTGTTTTATAGAGTTGTAGGGAGTATTATCTGTGACGTAAGTGTGTTTTATAGAGTTGTAGGGAGTATTATCTGTGACGTAAGTGTTTTATAGAGTTGTAGGGAGTATTATCTGTGACATAAGTGTGTGTTATAGAGTTGTAGGGAGTATTATCTGTGACGTAAGTGTGTTTTATAGAGTTGTAGGGAGTATTATCTGTGACGTAAGTGTGTGTTATAGAGTTGTAGGGAGTATTATCTGTGACGTAAGTGTGTTTTATAGAGTTGTAGGGAGTATTATCTGTGACGTAAGTGTTTATAGAGTTGTAGGGAGTATTATCTGTGACGTAAGTGTGTTTTATAGAGTTGTAGGGAGTATTATCTGTGACATAAGTGTGTTTTATAGAGTTGTAGGGAGTATTATATGCGCTCCTCTCCTCAGTACCTGTGCGAGTGTCAGTTCGATGAGAATGTGAAGTTCAAAGCCGCCATAAACGAGGAAGACGCCGACGCCATGAGGCTGCAGCCGATCGGGCGCGACCGCGACGGGCAGATGTACTGGTTCCAGCTGGACCAGGACAACAACGTGCGGCTCTACGTGGAGGAGCAGGACGACCTGGACGGCTCCTCCTGGAAGTGCATCGTCAGGTCAGAGGTCACACGTCTTCACCGGTGGGGGGGTTTATCGCACGCTTTTCTCCACGGAGACGCTGTTATTCTGTTATTCTGGAATGTTCCGCAGCGTGGCATTAGACCTTTCTATGTCCACGGAGACCGAACCCAACGCAGCTCCAGGTCAGATCTGTGGAGAGGCGACGCCGCTCAGTCACAGTGTCTGTTTTTATGGAGATTTTTGACTCTGAAACCTCCTGGAACTGAACAAATGTAAAGTCACACTGTGGAACATTCAGGCAGAACAGTGACATTTAAAGGTGTGTGTTTGTCCTGACGTCCTCCAGGGGGCAGTGTGTGACTCTGTATGTGTGTGACTCTGTGTGTGTGTGACTCTGTGTGTGTGTGACTCTGTGTGGTGTGTGACTCTGTGTGTGTGTGTGACTCTGTGTGTGTGTGTGACTCTGTGTGTGTGACTCTGTGTGTGTGTGTGTGTGTGTGTGACTCTGTGTGACTCTGTGTGTGTGACTCTGTGTGTGTGTGACTCTGTGTGTGTGTGTGACTCTGTGTGTGTGTGACTCTGTGTGTGTGTGTGTCTGTGTGTGTGTGACTCTGTGTGTGTGACTCTGTGTGTGTGACTCTGTGTGTGTGACTCTGTG